CGCGCGCCCCGGGGGGCCGCCAGCCTGGTACCAGGAAGAGGCGGAGGCCTGTGTGGCAGCGGGTGGCTGGCTGGAGCCGTGCCAGGTGCAGGGTCTGCTGGCTGGGTGCTGGCAGGCTTACACCTGGCACGGGCACCGTAGCCAGCCCGTGCCCCTTTAAGGGGTCTGGGGCCGGGAGGGAGGCAGATGAGTTTCCCTGGTGTTGGCCAGAGTGGCCACCAGGGAAACCTGGGGAGGGCTAGCCTCCCACTAGTTCGAATTAAGGGGCTAAACACCCCTTAATTCGAACTCGCTAGTTTGAACTAGGCTTAATCCTCGTAAAATGAGGTTTCCTAGTTCGAACTAAGTGCTCCGCTAGTGTAGCGCCTATTAAAGTTAGTTTGAACTAACGTCTGTTAGTTCGAACTAACTTTGTAGTGTAGACATACCCTTAGTTACCATTAGGGCCTCTTTCTTGGCTGCTGTGCTACTGAACCAAAGTCTTGCTCACTAGTTTCCAGGCCTGTTGCTGTTTTTATGTTACAGGCCTTTACTCAGGCCTGCTGACTCCAATTTACCAACCCTCAACTTACCTCACCAGTGTCCATTAATATGACTCCACTTCCTTGGTATTTCTGATTTCATAAACCTGCCAGGTCCTGCTGTCGGTAGTACAGTGTGTGTGTGTGTGTGTTTGTGGGGGACAAGCTCCCCTTCCTCTATTCCTAAAAATAAAGATAGCACTGCTCCTGTCACTTTTGGTTTCTCCAGGCAAAGATCCAGGCCCATTTGAAGACTCTGAGAGCAGAGAGAAAAAAGCTGCTGGGATTGAAAGTGAGCAGAGAGAGGAGAAGCCAGGAGTATCTGGTAGGCGCCTGTCATTATGAACTTGCCTTTTTAACAAGCCGAAGGGAGGGGCATGCTGAATCAGAGCACTAAGAAGGGGCAGGGGCAATCTAGAGACCCAGTTATGGTTTATCTCGATCAGTTGGGGAATGATCGCAAAGAAATCACAAATAATTGTTTTGCAAAATTCCTCCTTGGGGTTGGACCCTAAACCAGCGGGTTTCAACCTTTGTTCATTTGTGGATCCTGTTAGAAATTTCAAATGGTGACCGCTTTGAAACTCTCTTGTCTGTGTGAAGTTATATTCTGTCCAGTCTTTTTCAGTCTAAGTCTTTTGCAGACATGATCCATGGACCCTCCTGCCCCCGCTCATGGGTACACAGATGACAGGTTGAAAACCACTACCATAAACTACTGTAAACTATATTTCTTATCAACAGTATATTAACTACTATTAGCTTCATTAAACTCAATTCACAAGCAATAATTTATATTTAGGAACTCACAGAATTTTGAATTAGAAAATGTCTTGATTTAGAACAAAGCCCCACTGAAACATGTTCTCTCTAGGAATGTTAACGTGTTGTTGACTATAGGGTGCCTCCACTATAAATTGCTCTGCTATACATCGGTTCCACACTAAAGTTGCAGACAATTGTAGGAACTGATGCGTTATAAGTCCTCTCGTTCCCTGCTCTTAAGTCACACACAAAAAAATCCTCAATTTACGCAAATAGAAGTCATTCATGGGAAAAACGTTCCCTGCTTTAAGTTGTTTCACTATAAGTCCAATTTTCTTGGAACATATCTTGGGTTTATAGTGAGAACGGCCTGTACACAATTAACTGATAAGCTAGGCCAGTGTTTCTCAAAGTGGTCTGTGAAACGACTTTGAGAAATACTTTAACTAGCCACACCAGTTGGTTTATTTACCAGTGCTACGGCCATGGAGCCTTGTGACTCTCATTGGCTCCCTTGCTGCGGCTCCCTTTGGCTGCAAACGGCAAAACAGAGCCAATGGGATCCACAAGGCTTTGTGGCTTCATCACCAGTAAATAAACAAATCAGCATATAAATATTGGAATAACCACCAGCTTTTTGTCCCATTTTTTGCAGAGCACCCTAACTAAGTGACCTCAGCTGGCTCCCCTGGAATCCTGGTTATTACTAGGGATGTCAAAGTATAGATGACTACATGATTAACCAATAAGCTTTGGCTCATTGGTTAAGCCTATCGACTACACACATTCTCCCTCTGCCTCTGTATCAGAGACAGTGGGGGAGGGAGTAGGGGGAAGGTGGGAGCTGGTGACTGTGGGGAACCAGCTTTAAGGCTGCTCCCCATTCCCACCGGATCCACCCACCCACTCCCAACCTCTGATAGAGAGGCAGCAGCACAGTGAGTGAGGGGGGTGGGTGAAAGCCGGCTCTCTGCATGTGCTGGCTCCACAGAGCCATCTGCCCCCCGCCTAGAGAGGCAGTGGGAATGGGGCAGGCAAGAACCAGTGCTGGGGGGAGCCAGCTTAAAAGCCGATTCCCCCCAGCACCAGATCTGCAGTGCTGCCTGCCTCCTTCTTATAAAAAATCACAGAAACTCATTAGAACTATGGATGTTAGATATTGTGTTACTGAATATTTGTGTAACCGCATGAAATTTTAGTGATTACACAACTATTCAACAGTCCCTGGGGGCAGAGCCAACAGCCAGCATGCTCCCAGCCCCACTTGCAGGGAGCCCCCTGCCCTACCTCTGTATCAGAGATAACAGCGTGGGGTGGCACACTGGAGCAGATCCTCCAGGGGAGCCAGTTTAAAAACCAGCTCCCTGGGCAGATTGGCTGCCTGCCAACCCGTGCTGCTGCCTCTGATAGACGGGACTCCTTGAAGCAGGGCTGAGAGCATGCTGGCTGCTGACCCCTCCCACAGTGACTATCGAGTAGCTGTGTAACTGCTAAGATTTCATGCAGTTACATAACTATTCAGTTACACGGTATCTAACATCCCTAGTTCACTGCTCAGTTCTCAGCCTCTGCCAGCCCACAGTTTGCAGGATGTTTACTTATGTCTTGAGGAGTCCTCTGATGCAGTCTTTGTTCACTGTTCTGCGTTCCAGCTTAACTGAAGCGCTGTGTTCCGGGACATCATGCTTTCTGGCCGAGTCCCTTTGTGTTCTGATTATTTCTCCAGTCCTGTCATTCACCTTGGATCCTGAGGGTGCTGTCCGGAGATGTTGTTTTACGGTCCTTACTATTTTCTTATCGTCGCTGCAGTTCAGTTTCTGTTGCCTTCCAGTTTCTATTTTATAGCAGGTTATTTGCTTCCCATTTCACTCTTATGAAGGATGGAAGGGTGGGTGTGGCCTTTACTGGAGAATGGATTTTGTCTGCTACTTCATGATCCTGGGAGAGAGGGAGGGAATATAATTAATAATTAATTTTTAGATTTTATGGGTGGCAGAGATAAAACTTCCCAGTGTGAGCTGAATGTACCCAATGCAGAATGTTGTGTCCGAATCTACTACTTTTTCTCTCATGGATTCATTTGGTTTTTTTTTCTTCCTGCCTCTCTCTGTGAATGTGGTACTGAATACTGGTGGGCAAATGCCAGATCTTCTTTGCTTGCAGGATATTTTTAAAAAAATGGGTTTCAACCAGAAATTCTGTATTTTATAAAATTATTAATAAATCACAAATTTTATTTTTTTGCTATGTCAGATAATTTTTTTGGACAAAAATAAAAATGTTTTGATTCAGTTTTGACCATGTCCTTAAAAATGTTTTTATAAAAAGCAAAGACAATTTCAAAAATAGGTCAAACTTTAAAATCCAGGAAAAAAGGACTGAACATATTTTGATTTGTCATTTATTTATTTCTGTAGCAATACAACTGTGTGACATTGTCAGTAATTCATGAAATGTTTCTTTGTCAAATCTGCATTTTCCCTGAAAAAAAATTGAATGCAGAAAATGTCACTAAGATCTAGTGTTGAATCCTGCCCCCTGCTGCTTTGGATCTGAATCCCCGAGGCCTTCCATCGCTTACTATCCCAACCATGTTAGATACAGAAATGTCCTTTATGAGATTCTGGGGCCAAACAAAAACATGTGAGAAAATGCTCCCTCGAGTAACTGCAGGATACTGTTCACTGTCAGGTAACATAGAATTTGCAAAGAAGGTCTCCCCCCGCACACTCAGCTCTCTGTGAAAGGGCACCAGGCTTCATCCACATCCCGGTAGTGGTGGTGGGAGTGGTGTACTTCCTTGTTTTTTCTTCTTCAGAAACAGACACAAGCCAAGAGGCAGAAGATTGTGGCCGAGTTTCAGCAGCTGCGTCAGTTCCTGGAGGAACAAGAGCGACTCCTGCTGGCCCCGCTGGAGAAGCTGAACGAGGAGATTGGGAGGCTCCAGACTGACACTGTCAGGAATCAGCGAGCAGATCGGTGAGCTGGAGGGGACGTGTCAGCAGCCAGCGAGTGAATTCCTGCAGGTGAGACTGAGGGAGAAACATCCCAGCTCCTCACACAGGGGAGGGAGGCTCCTGAACCACAAACACTGAAGTCCAGTCGTCAGATCTGGGTGTAACTTGGCAGGTATGTTGCTGCCATGTGAGTGACTGTTGTGCTTTGCAGAGTCACAGGCACAGACCTATTGGAGATGGCAAAGCCCCATTCGCTCAGGGGATCCATGTTCCTGGGGTCAGGGCAGGGCCCCTCTGCTATGTTTGCAAAATCTCTTCCCTGGGTCTCCTGTGTGTGTTGATGGGGCTGAGATTCTTTTCTCTCTCTCCCCTCTAGGACATCAGCAGCACCTTGAGCAGGTAGGTGGCTCTCGCTCCCCTCACACTGCACAGCGCAGGGAAAGGGCTTGGAACTGATATTAGCACCACATCTCCCCCGTGCTCCACAGCCAGATGTGAGGGGAAGGTCGGCTTATTTTTAATAAAGTCATTTCACTGCACCATTAAAGTTTTTTTCCCTGAAGAGTCATAAAACAAACTGAAAATTAGTTAATTATCAAACATATAACAGAGCAGTGCAGTTGTACCACGGAAAGATTTTTTGCCAAATTAATACAGAAATAATACAATTGTAGAATATTAGATCTAGACAGGACCACAAGAGGTCATCGAGTCCAGTCTCCTACATTTATGGCAGGACCATGCACCATCTAGATCGGGGTGGACAATAATTTTTTGTAGTGGCCCCGGGCCACACTGGAAGGGGAGGGGCCAGGATGTTTCCGAGCTTCCCCACCCACAGACCATGACTGACTTGGGGCGGGGGAGCGTGTGAAGCCTCCTCCCAACCTGCCAGGAGCGTGCGATGCTTTGAAGTGCTACATGCTGCTCGTGGGGGGGAAAGGAGGCAGGGGCGGCGCATGGTCCCCCACTTCCAGGCCCTGATTGGGCTGGGCGTCAGGGAGCATGCTAAGCCTCTTCCAGGGCATAGGTGCCTAGTGGGAAGGGGGGGGGGCAAACGGGCTCCCCCACCAGCAGACCGGGCGCTGAGGGGGAGGGGGGGGGGGCAAACGGGCTCCCCCACCAGCAGACCGATCTTGGTCCGGGGTTGGGGTAGTCCTGCCCCTTCCTGTTGAGGCCCTGCCCCTTCTAGGGTGGCCCGGGGCAATTTCGCTAGTGGCTCTAGTCCCTAGTGGGCTGTCCCCTGGAGGCCAAGGAGTGAGTTGGCCATGGAGGCTCAATTCCCCTTTAGCCCCCAGCTGGTCTCCCCAGGCCAGAGCTGCAGACTGTTTATGGGACCTTTGAGGGGACGTTGCAGGGCCAAGGGCTGCGCTGCCCCTGCTCTCGGGTTGGGAGAACTGGAGGATTCGAACTCCAGGCCCAGCAGAGCAGCGACTCACTGGCCAGAGCTGGGGAACTGAGTCACTCGGTGCAGTGTCGCCATGTGACGTTGTCTCTCCCCAGGTGTGAGACGGGGCCGTTCCAGCCGCCAGAGGAGATTTCGACTGAACTGGGCGAGCGAGTCACGGGTTTCTCCCGGCAAACGACTGCGCTGTCGGAGACGCTGAGGCAGTTCACAGGTACCGGGAAGGGACGGGAGAGGGGAGAGTGAGTGAAGTGTCTGAGGCCAAGGAAAGAGACCGATGGTGGTTATTTGGCTCCTAGTTAGATGAAGTTTCTGTTGAATTGTGAGGTGAAAATGGCGCCCACTTGCCGTCCCAGACACTCAGGTGGATTCTTGGAACCTTATTTGTTCCAAAAGCCGCTTTGCAATTACAGTTATGTTAGAGCACAAAATGGCCAACACACGGACAGAAACACGCCCAGCTCCGTACTGCTCTCTGCAGAGACGCTGAGTACACAGACCCCACGGCTCACAGACAGGGCCAGGATTTTGCAAACTCTGAATCTCCCGCTTGTGTCAAAGGGACCGAAGTGAGTGAAGTTACTTTGAGGCCAAAGTCTTTGCAGGATCTGGGCCTAGGCTGTGACAAATGTCAGGAAGTGAATGAGCCAAACCCAGGGGAGTCTGAAGGGCAGGAAGGATGTCTTCTGGGTGGGAGAGGATGTTGAGGAAAAAGCGAATCTCTCCACAGATTGTCCTGGGTTGGCTGTGAGGCTGCAGGGAGGTTGGTTCCTTTCTTGGGAGAGGCCTGAGTAAGAGAGGAAGTAGGAGCCTTCAGACCTTTTTATATTAAAAAACTGAGGGCGTGTCTACATGCAGGAGAAAGTCAAATTAAGCTACACAACTTTTGCTGAGTTAATTGCGTAGATGCAGTCGATGTAGCTTAACTCGACTGTTGGCGCTGTCCACACAGCAGGCAGTGGAGGGAAGAGCACTCTCCCTCCGACTTCCCATACTTTTCGTGCAATGAGGGCTACCGGCACCAACAGATGCACCCCTCAGTTTGATGAACTGTCTTCACTTGCCTGCTAATTTGAACCCTGGGAGATCAACAGAGGTAGCCTCAATCTTCTCTGCAGTGTAGACGTACCCAAATGTGTCTCTGCTACAACGAAAACCCAGGTCTGTGTGGGTATATCTACACTACCCCCCTAGTTCCTAACCCCGTGCCGGCTTTTAAAAATGGCGGCGCCCGAGTTTTTTTCTTTTAGC